TCACTCATACATGTTCATGATTCTCCAAAAGTAGAATATAACACAACTGAATATTCAACACAAGTCATTCTATTTCATCTTCTTAAATTGAGCAATTAATATTCAGGCATTATCTTCTTATTTAACTCAAATTAAACAGAAAATTATGTTGCATTCAAGGCAATAAAAAATGCTAAATATAAGAAATAATATTATAGTAAACGTTTGTATTATTATTACCAATATATATTATGATTATATTGTTATTAAAGAAAAATAATTAAGTTGAAATTAGAAAAAAAATAAGAAGTAAAATAAATAAATAAATACAAAACCAATAATTAACCAGCCTTTGTTTTATATAACTTTTATGACATTTGCCATAAAAGGAGCTTCTTCGAATATGTCCCCTTTAGAATGCTGTTTAAACTCACTGTATCGGTTGTACTTTCTTTCCTTTCGTCATCTGAGCTTCAATGAGACACTTGAGCTTGTTTGTCTCTCAGAAGCTTTGATCGTTCTGGGGTCAGTGTGGAAACAGCTGGTACCAGGCTGTTCTCTACATCCAGTCTGCTCCTCTGCTTGGTTATAATGTGTGTCAAAGCTGAGAAGGTCACCTCACACATAGAAGTAGAACCAAAAGGCAAAAGCTCAATCAGTGCATGCTTTCCCAGCTCAGGATACTCCTTCTCCACATCACACCAGAACTCAGTCAATGTCTTCTCAGCATAATGTCATTTTCAGTCCCTGATCACGTGATAAATCCATCAGACGCTCCTGCAGCCTTGCAGGAAGGTTGTTGCAGCTCTCGCTCACAACAAACGGGTTCCTCACCCAATCCAAGTCTTTCTGACTTTTCTTCAACGTCCTGAAAACATTGGCTGAAATCCGTGCAGAGTTCGGTCCAGTTTGACCACTGGACCCCTGGCAACGTCAGTGGTGGCAAGATGGGAATGGAGTCGTGGGAAACAGCTGACATCTCCCTCATCACGTTTCTTCTCCCGTAGTTGTGAATCCTTTAACTTTATCATACATTTTCAGGATGTGTGACTCCTTTCCCTGAAGCGACAGGTTGAGCTCGTTCAGTTTGGTAAACACATCAGGCGAGTGCGCCACCCACCGAGCATCCTCAGACACCACAGCAAGAGGATGCGGATGCTGCGTCAGAAACAGAAACTTAGCTGCGCAGTTCAGAAAGTCTGAGTCGTGTTTTCTGTGCCGCCCTCATGACAAAGAGTTTCAGTCTGTGATCTACTGGATTGGATGAAATTGATCACCTTCACAGCACCATCCACAACAGCACTTCAATCAGGGCTCGTTCGCTTACTTGCCGGTGCTTCGTGGTGAATGATACGATGCATCCATTTAATGTTTACCTTTTTCACGTGTCCAAAAAGTCCGGTCCCGTCATCGCAGCTGCGCCGTCAGTACAGATGTGACTGCAGGCTTTCCACTGTAGATCGTGTTCTTTGAAAAAGCTGTCTATAATCTAGAACATGTCTTTCCTGGCAGCTTTTTTGCAAAAATAAAATATGCTCGTTTATGTCCGACACAAGGCCAGGAGCTGAGCATCACCACTCACATCCAGCTGCAGGGCGAACTGACCAATGATGTTAACCGACATGTCATCAATCCGACGGGACACGCTGTTGTTCCACAGGGGGCACTGAGGCTGCGGAGAAGTGAATCCATAATGAAATATAGTTTTCACTATACTGCCTTGGTTCAGGTTTGGCATCTTTCTTGCGTTTGTCCCCCTCCTCGATCCACAGCAACTGCACGTTTCAGCCATTTATCCATATTTACCTGCAGGTGGACAGGTTCCTGCTGATGTTGGCATGGCTGTGCCACACCTTATTGTCTCCCCAGGGACACAAGTCATAGAGCACACGTATCATTTTATTGACAGACTTATGAAATGACGGAGAATATTTTGGATTATCTTGAAAATAATTTTTTTCCACGTACCCCCTGCAATGTGCTCACGTACCCCTAAGGGTACGCATACCCCTGGTTGGGAAACACTGCTTTAGGCCATAAAGTCAGCGAGCAGCTGATCACGCCTGGCACAGTTTGATCCTAATCAGTGAGTGAACGGGTTGATCAGGTGGCAGCGTTCTGCTTCCAGTGTTGGAACAACAGCACCAGCAGCAGCATCAGAGTGTCTCTGAGTCAGAGCTCACTGCATTTAGCAGCAGTCATGTGATTTCCAGTAAACAGAGGAGGAGCTCTGAGTGATGCCAGAACAGAAGGAGGAAATTACCCAATTCAGACTCCATTTTACAGTCGCCAGAGGAGGAAAACAAGGTGAGTGTTGGTCCAACATTCTTCTTCTTCTGCTGTCAGAGTCTCTCAGTCAGCTGTCTGTCTGTGGACTGGATCAGAACATTGGGATCTTTTCATTCAGGAGGTGGACTGTTGACTGCTTTTGTTCCACTCTGACTCTGGGTTTTATTTCCTCATCTGACGCGTTGAACTGTGACTCTTTACAGGTTTGTTTGTCCTGATTCTTGTGTTGTGAGTCAAACTCAGTGTTGCTGGTGTAACTCTCACACTGAGTGACGAAGATGGAGGAAGAGGAGAAGTGTGGAGAAAGATCCAGAGCTGAACTGCAGACAGCCGGTCAAAGCAGCTGTGTACAAAGTAAGACTGAACACGTGCTGATGGACTGATGTGTGAAAACTGCACTTGTTGTTGTGTTGTGCTGTCCAGACATGAAAGGTGTTTGTGTTTGTTCCGTCTGATTGTTTCTCTGATCTGTGAGCAGATGCTGGTCTGCAGGAGGTTCTGCAGGAACATAAGATGAGTCTGAGGAGGAGATGTGAACATGTGACTGAAGGAAGTGATGCAACAGGAGGTGGAACCCTCCTCAACAGGATCTACACTGAGCTCTGCATCACAGCAGAAGCCAGTGAAGAGGCTGATACCAAATGTAGGCGGAGGTGGCAGTGCAAAGTTTCCAAGAAGAACCTCCCTGACACTCCCATCAAGTGCCAGGACATCTTTAAAGCCTTCCCTGAGCAGCAGAGAGCCATCAGAGTGGTCCTGACCAACGGTGTCGCTGGCGTGGGAAAAACCTTCTCAGTGCAGAAGTTCAGTCTGGACTGGGCAGAGGGCCGAGAAAACCAGGACATCAGTGTGGTGGTTGTGCTTCCGTTCAGGGAGCTGAACTTGATCAGAGATGAGCAGCACAGTCTTCTGACGCTGCTCCATGAGTTCCATCCAGCATTACAGAAGGTGACAGCAGAGGAGCTGGCTTTCTGTAAAATTTTGTTCATCTTTGACGGTCTGGATGAAAGCAGACTTTCACTGGATTTCACCAACAGGGAGGTGGTGTCTGACATCAGCCAGAAGTCATCGCTGGACGTGCTGCTGACAAACCTCATCCAGGGGAACCTGCTTCCCTCGGCTCTGGTCTGGATCACTTCCNCTGCACGGGGAGAACATGCAAACTCCACGCAGAAAGATCCCGGTGCCCCCACCAGGACGCAAACCGGCAACCTTCTTGCTGCGAGGCAGCAGTGCTACCAACTGCGCCTTATTTATTTATTTATTTTACAAATTAAAAATTAAAAATGGAATCAAGATGTCTAACATTTTTCCGAGCACCCAGAGGTGTTGTCCAAAATGGGAAAAAAATGTTTGCTCTACTTATTACAGAGATTTTACTACTTTAATGTTTAATTTGTCTCCATTATTACAGTAGCTCCTATCTGTGGCATGATTGTTGATCACAGCTGAGCCAGTTGTTCTGATTTTGTTAATTGCAGAAACTGGTGAGCACAGGACTGCAAGGTGACTCGGAGATAAGCACCGTCGCCTCACAGCAAGAAGATCCCGGTTCGCATCCCGGTTAAGATCTTTCTGTTCTTTTCTCCCCGTGCAGCGTGGGTTCTCTCCAGGTTCTCCGGCTTTCTCCCACACAGTCCGAAAACATGTTGAGGTTAATTGGTGATTCTAAATTGTCCGTCGGTGTGAATGTGAGTGTGCTTGGTTGTCTGTCAACCCTAGTGAGGATTAAGCGGTGAATAGATAATGGATGGATGAATGGTTAGTGCAAATGACTGACTGTTGGGACATTATTAAATGAGACAGGATGATTTTGCTGAAGTATCATCATTTTAGTCTCATCTTGAAGCTGGAATTGCTTGTCATGAGATTAGTTTGGTTACTTGTGATAAACAACAACAAGCCTTTCAAACCCACCGGCAGGTCTCACAGATCATTTAAGATTTACTGACAGAATAATATCACTTCCCTGTTTCATGGAGAGAGTTGTCGGCATTTGTAAATTAGGCTTAATGAAACGGTTTCTGGAACTTAAAGACACAAGATTGCTTTTGTTCTTTTGCCTTTTAGTGAAACAATAACTGTGGTTGTGAAAACATATGTGAGATCGACATGGCCACAGAGATCACATCAAAACATCCCAACTAGCTTCGTCCATAAGAGCAAGAAGCAGCAGATTAAAACTGATGTCCTCAGCTTGTCCATAACCACCGCTGAATGCCAGAATATAACATGTTAATATGGTTAAATGAACTAAATGTGTCCTTTTACTGCTGGTGGCCACATATTGGCTCAAATCATTCAGCTGAGAACATCTGGAACACAGAACGTAAGTTCATCCTCAAAGATCGATAACAGGATTAAACTGTCCACAGCTGACAGCTTTATGTGTGTGTGTGTGTGTGTGTGTGTGTGTGTGTGTGCACTTGTGAACCCAGAAAAACTCCTAAAAGGATCCGAAAGTAAAACAACTATTGTATTAAAAAACGACAGAAAGATTATAATCTGACATGTTTCTGTTTCCTCATTTATTTCCTGACAGACGCACTTGTGGTCAAAACTGGCTGCTTGTTGTGTTCCCACCTGATTTCCTGCACTGCTGGGTTTCTATAGGATCATCACACATAATTTTAATGCCTGGAAAGACATGAATTATGATCGATCTGTAACGGAGTTCCATCTGCTCCTCTCATCTCTTCTTCATGTTTTCATTCCACCTCCTGTTTTCTCTGCAGATTGATGCTGCAGGTCATCACAGAGCCAACATGTGTTTTCGTGTATCGCCTCTCCCTCGTACGAAGCACACGCTAAGAACATACAGCAGTGACCTTTTATCTACGGCCCACACACACACACACACACACACACTTGCTGAGAGACAGAGTGCAGACACCAGAAGACGTGAAAAGTGTTGACGGATATACGACCACTTCTGTCACAGCAAGTCAACACTGGTATGAACACACATGAACACTGTTGTACGGATGGAAACAAACAACATGTAAAATGTAGTAAATATTGTTGTGTTTATTTAATGTTTAAAATTGTTTCAATGTTTTTTAAGCAAAAGGAAAATTCAGATTTCCTCAACAATACATTTTTCTTAATACCAGTGTATGTTTCATGTCTGCAGCATTTATTGCAGTTCGTCTGCATGTAGTGATGCAGGATTTGGTCTTCAGTTCAATTCTTTACCACTGGGAAGGTTATTGGGTTTACTTTGTTTTCACGATTTTCACCAGGCCCGCACCTGGATCAGACTTTTGTCAGTGAATAAATTTGAGCTGACTGAGACAGTTTGAATATTTGTTACTCATTTCTGTTTAGTCCTGTTTCTGTGTTTTTGCTCCTCACTGTGGACTCATTTTTCACTGCAGTGTAAAATCCTGCACCTCCATGGAAACAACACAACCATAGCTAGAAGTAGAAAAACTGTGAAAAATACATTTAGTGTGGTACAACAAAGTAAAAAAAGACACAAGTTATAAAAATAAAAAAAAATAAAAGCTGAATTTCTTTGATTATTTATTTTACAAAAACAAACAAACCCTGGAATCAACATGTACAACATTTTTTCTAGTACCCACGAGTGTGACCTATACATATACTGTCCTGAAAAAATCCAGCGTCTACATAGAATAAATATTTAACGATTTAAATTTTAATTATTTTCCAGTCCGCTGTGCAGTTCAGCTGAGTTCACTTGAAAACTCACAGAATTTTTGTCACATGAGCGTCGCATGTTTTGTACAGAATCTCATTGGAACAAGCTTTTTCTTTTTCTTTTTTTGCACAAATTTTTAAATAAATAGAATAAAGTTATTCTGAAGAGATATCATGATTATTAAGCTAAGATTTGTTTAGATTTTCCTGACAAAACTGTGTCTAACACATGAGCAATTCAAGTACTACAGAAGAGGAATAAATTCATCATCATTGTCTGCGCTGGACTCTGCAGCAATGAGGACGAGGCTGAGAGACTCACCTTTGTAACGTTGTATGAACTGGGCCTTTACTGCTTTTCTTTTTGGAGAGTAAACCTCATACATAACATCTGAGTAGCTGTTACACTAAGACCTGGACCATCTGCAGACTACAGTAACCTAATCACTTCTGCAGACATGTCGTGACTCTTCTTCTTCCTCATACACCAACTGACATCAGTGTGAGCACAACATGTCACTTAGAAACAACTGGGAGCTGCCCAGTTCAACCACAGCCTTCTGCTGCTGGTCACTGGAACACTTGTGGGCAACCTGTTGACCGTGGCTGTGGCTATGTTCTGGTAACTTCACTTCTGACAAACTAGAGTCGCTCACTTCAGACATCACTGGACTTAAAACACAGACAAGATACCAACAAGACCAAAACGGACTGACTGCTAACGAAAGGATCGCTGCTCTTCAGCTTTCAGCGCCTTGCATCAGTGCACCCCTTGTTGCTACCTGGATAAACGAAGGTTCGACTCGAGGAATCTGAGTTGAATCAGGCGTCTTCAGCTGATATTTTAAAGCATCTATTTTCTCGAAAAGTTGAATTTAATGATGACAGCGATAAAAAGCGAATTGTGCATCACGACAAATTAAGAAATTCATGAATATACACCACAACACAAGAACAAGATGAAGTCAGTGAAGGCATGTGAACTATGATTATATTTTAGAAGTAGAAATAAATAGCAGTTGGAAAATAGTTCAATAGTAAGTCTAGTTTAGCTCATTTACTGTATGAGGTTAATGCATCATTATGAGACAGAATATTGTGATGCATAAAGCTAACAGAGGGCTGCAAGGTGGCGCAGTTGGTAGCACTGTTGCCTCGCAAGAAGGTTGCCGGTTCGCGTCCCGGTGGGGGCACCGGAATCTTTCTGCGTGGAGTTTGCATGTTCTCCCCGTGCAGCGTGGGTTCTCTCCGNGGAGGGACATGAGACGAGTCCACAGGAGCTGACGGAGACTGACAGGGAAGTTCTTCTGAAGCTGGGGAGGCTGGCCTTTGAACATCTGGAGAAAGGAAACATCATGTTCTACCAAGAAGACCTGGAGCAGTGTGGTCTGGATGTGACAGAGGCCTCGGTGTTCTCAGGAGTTTGTACGCAGATCTTCAGAAGAGAGTGTGTGATGTTCCAGAAACCAGTCTACTGCTTTGTTCATCTGAGCATTCAGGAGTTTCTGGCTGCAGTCTACATGTTCTACTGTCACACCAACAGCAACACTGAGGTGCTGGAGAAGTTCCTGGGAGAAGACTACATCAACTCATCACTGGATGCCTTCCTGGACAGAGTCATGGAGAAATCCCTCAGTAGTAGAAATGGTCACCTGGACCTGTTTGCTCGCTTCCTTCATGGCCTCTCTGTGGAGTCCAACCAGAGAGTCTTAGGAGGCCTGCTGGGTCGGACAGAGAACCGTCCAGAAATCATCCAGAGAGTCATCAACAACCTGAAGGAGAAGAACAGTTATGAAATATCTCCAGACAGAAGCATCAACATCTTCCACTGCCTGATGGAGATGAAGTATCTGTCAGTACATCAGGAGATCAAAGAGTTCCTGAAGTCAGAGAACAGATCAAAGACGGAACTCTCTGCGATCCACTGCTCAGCTCTGGCCTACATGCTGCAGATGTCAGAGGAGGTTCTGGATGAGTTGGACCTGAGGAAGTACAACACAACAGTGGAGGGACGACGGAGACTGATTCCAGCTGTGAGGAACTGCAGAAAGGCTGAGTGAGTCCAGATGTGATGAACATGACCAGTCAGTGTAGATCAGTAGTTCAGTTCTTCACATGTTCTCAATGTGCTCGTTCTGCCTCAGTTCAGCGAATGCTCCACATCTGACCGTCTTCAGTTGGACTTATGTCTTTTAAAGTGGTGAATATTGGTTGAGGTGACCATGTGTACCATCTGGGCTCACGTGGAGCTGCTTTGGTAGAATCATACAAACCAGTTCTATTATGGTGGAGGTTTATTACAACATGTCAGTGTTTCTGTCTTCTCCGATGTTCCACCAACCATAAAACCTTCATTCTTCACCCTAAGAGGCTGAATTGTTTTTCTTCTGATTGGCAATAACATGTTTTATCTTTTATGTGTCATGACAGACTTTCTCAGTGTTGGCTCTCAGAGAGTGACTATGAAGTCGTGGTCTCAGCTCTGAAGTCCAACCCCTCCCATCTGAAAGAACTGGACCTGAGCAACAGCGTCTTGGGAGATTCAGGAGTGAAGCATCTTTGTGATGGACTGAAGAGTCCAAACTGTAAACTGGAGACTCTCAGGTCAGTTCACTGGCTGTTGGTGGAATTTATTCAGTTCAGATTCTTACCTGAAGTTTTAGACTTTGGTTGATAAATTTTGAGGATTTTCCTGAAAACAGCCTGAAGACGTTTGAGTTCCTTGAAGCGTCTGTGAATAAATGCCCTGATCAGCTGACTGCAGTGTTCCCAGATGGAGGACAGAACCCACAGTCCTGCTGTGTGTNGCGACCCTCGTGAGGATTAAGCGGTGTATAGATAATGGATAGATGAAGCTAACAGAAAACACTGTTGACTCTTACTGAGGTTATATTTGGAGATGAGGATTATTATGGATCATCACCTGCACACAGCAGAGTCACAGAGTCATGTTTCTGCATACATGTTGCACTTCATCTGCTGTGATTCTCCGTGTTGTGACTGGGTTCATTCCATCCAGATTTCTATCACATGTGGCCGACGCTCATCACCGACAAACTGACCCACGTGAGTCTCTCTCGGGGACAGATGCAGCGAGCAGCGTTGCCAAGGACAGGAACCCAGAGAGGAGCTCATTGTGAAGTTATGTCTCTGTCACCGAAGAGAAGACGGTGACGAAAGACACATGCTGCCTGGTTTCCCTGAACAACACGACAGTACAGTGGACCTCTGATGAGCTTTGGACCCGATTTAGCTTCAATTATGCTGTCATGACGAACTGTAGGTAAAACCAGATGTGTAAACTGAGTCAGAGGTTTTTATGTGGAGGTTTTAAACCACAATCACCTGAAAAAGTTGTCAAGGTTATTAATAATAATGTGATATTTTGAACCTCTGGAAAAGCTTCTTGTTCCCGTGTGTAAGATCAGAAGACATCAGGAACATCTGTGAGAATCCCACTGGACTGAATAAAGGCAGAACTGTTGACCCGTGTTGCTCTTTTATTGTGGGGTTTTAAGTGGTGGACTTTCGTCAGAGCACTTAACCTGTTCACATTGTTATTTTATATTATTTCATTCTGCCAGCGTCCGTTATAAGAAAAGGAAGGATTTCTTGTGATTACAAAGTTGTTTTAATTAAGTGACACAATTCCATGACATCCAAACTGTTTTGTTTTTTTATTTCTGGATGTCTTCAACACTGATTTACCTGTGCCCTGTTCCTGTATATATTTAGAATAGTGGTCATTCATCGAGCTCATAAGATCAGGATGGTCTCTCACTGCCTGGCTTCAGTTTATCATCAGGCCTTTCTGCTACGTTCTGTCATGGATCAGTTTAACAGCTGCTCATCAGGACCGTTAGAAAAAACATCGCACACCCTAGAGGACTACAGGGTCTGTTTTTATCAAACACACCGATTGCAAATATACCACTAGATGCCAAACCATGGTCCTTAAAATGGCGTCAGAATAGTTGCTGATTTATTTAATGACAAAGATCTGCTCAGTTTTCAGGAATCGTGCCACCTCTCCAGCCTGTCTGGTTCATCTTTTTTATTTTTCACTGACATGTAAGGTCAACGCTTCAGTCATGTGATGTCTATTGGAGGCTAAACTCAACTGCAACCGGAATGAAGTGCTTCAGTTGGTAACGTAGTTAAATTAAGTTACTCCAAATGAAGCTAACAAGCAAAATGAATGTCAGTGGTTTAAGTTAGATGTACGTAAATCACTTGATTTGCACTGTTTCAACTTCATTTTAAGCAAAGTGAAGTTTTCATTTTTTCCAATATATTGCTTTACCTAAATGTGAAATGCAAAACATGATTTTGTCATGAGAGTAGTCGTTCTATCTTCCTCTTTAGTGTGTAATCCTACTTAATGAAAACGTTTTAGCAGAAATGTCTGAAGAAACTTGGGCGTCATGACGTCAGATACACAATGCTGAAGCAGCAGTAAACCTAAAATCTGCCCACCTTCTTTTTCACCAGTTTCAAAGGACAAAGCGGAATTTCCATTTGACAGATTCCACAGAAGTAAACCGTCATCACCAAAGCAGAAAGATAAATGAGATTCATCATTCAAATACATCTTGAATACACTTTTTACACCCTGGACTGGATGAACTCTCTAACCACAAGAGGATGTGTATCAGCAATGTGTTCCAAACTCTTTAGACAACGCAAGGATCTGCTGATGCTCAACTTTCAGCTAAAAGATAAAGACATATCTTGGGGCACAGTGTGGGAAATATACCTTTTGTGCTTCTAAGAGTCCAAACCACTAACTTATCCATTTTATGTCACAGAGCCATTTGGATTCACCGGGGAGCTACAAACATATGATGTGGGAGTTTCCTTGTGTTCAAGACTTGTGGCGCCGGTTGTCTAAAGTTTCATCTGAACTGATCAAGAAGATGAGAATTCACCATCTGACTGTACTGCTCCTCAGCGATGATTCACAGTTTGAGTGACAGGAAGCTCAAGTTGTTACTGGGAGGTCTCACAGCTTGCCAGGAAACTGTTGCTGCCACCTCATGAGTTCAGTAACGGCTGACATATTTTAATGACATAGTGTTACTTGAGTCATCTACTGCCCGAATTAATAAAACATAACCCTCCACTTTGGAGATGTGGTCACAGGCGGCAGTACGAATAAAGAACAAACAATTGATGCTACACTTTCTACAAATAAATCTTGAGCGGTCAGTTGGAGGCCATATTGTGAGCCACTCCTGTGCTATTATCAAAGTAAAAACATTTTTCACACAAAGAAGCTACCTGAATGAATGTCGTGGAACCTGGTGAAAAGGTTTAGTACAGGCACGGGAAGAAGCTGTTAAACTTAGTTGTGGATCAAGACTTGTCTGAATAAAAATCTTTAAAACTGATTAGTCACTCGGCACTACGAGCAGGTCTAAGGTTGTTGCCATGCTGTTGTCATATATGCCCATCACTATGGAGAAGATGGACGCTGCTATTGAATTTGTTCTAAATTAACTTCATTCCTCTCCACTTTTACAACCCCAGCAAAACCTGCATGCTGGCACAGCTGTGTGTCAGTCAACTTAAAACAGTGTCACTTAAAATAATGTTCAGTTCAGGAGAATCAGTTGGTCTGGAGTAGGGATGTCCTGAGCCCCAACCTGAGATTAGGACCACAACTGATCACAGGGATTTTAGAAACACCTCAAACACGTGTCTGAGTCTCTTTTTTTTGTTGTTGCAACAAATGTGAACAAAAGCTACAATATCTGCATGTTATATGAGACATAGGAACACTGCTTGAAGTCTCCCATATCATTCTCTGCTCGCCAACAAGGACGTACCGAAGCCCCACCTGGTGGCGCAACCAGGTACTACAGCTAGTCTACAATACTTAGAGCAGGGGTCTCAAACTCCGGTCCTCGAGGGCCGCAATCCTGCAAGTTTTAGATGTTTCCTTCTTCCAACACACCTGATTCAAATGATCGGGATCGTTATCAGGCTTCTGCAGAGCTTGATGCTGAGCTGATCATTTGAATCAGGTGTGTTGGAAGAAGGAAACATCTAAAACTTGCAGGATTGCGGCCCTCGAGGACCGGAGTTCGACACCCCTGACTTAGAGTGTGCATTATCTAGGAAAATATTATCAGATATTGACAGATATTAGATATTAAATGACTCTGGAGAAAACTTGATTGAGATATTTGTAGTTTGTGGCTTTTGGTTTGAGAAAATCCATCCCCATGTAAACAGGTTTGAGTGGATGTCAGACCGATAACAGAAGCAGAGTGTAAATAGTTGGAAATTCTGTTTGATATCAAGCAAGATCTGAATGATTCTCTTTAAAATTGTGGGATAGAGCATTGTCCTTGGTGGAGAGCTGTGCTGTCCAAGAGCCCTTCAAGTTAAAATAATGGTATTATCTTTCCAACAAGAAATAAGATAATCACATTCCTGATCCTTCACTATGTAAATGTCAACGTTACAGTAGGTAGATACAAGTGAAGAAACAAGATAATAAATGCAAGAGTACAAAAAGGATAAAATGAAGGTTTATTAAAGAGTCTGTACCCCTTTCACATGTACAGATATGGCAGGATGGACAATGGACCCAGTAGCAGGCCACACACGATGTGCAGAATCATACTTAAATATATAAAGAGTAATAATACTACTTTTTTGTCATTGCACTGGAAAAGTTATGGAGAGAAAATAGCAGTTTTACACTATGTTGTTGCACCAGAGTAGCTATAAAGAAAAAAACAGTGGTACATGAAGACGGAGATGGAGTGTAATGAGTTGACGGTTCTGTCTGATATTAATCCTGATGACTGTCTTCAGAGCTGTGAGACAGAGTTTTGTCCTTGTTGGAGAGTCGTGCTTTACAAGTGACCTTCTGGTTAAGATAATGTTATTTATTTCCAACAAGAAATAAAGAATACGATGCTTGACACTGATGTTGACATGAAGGCTTGTATCGAGGCTTAAGCTTTACATCCTTTGACCTCAAGGGCAAGCATAATGAGTGTGACACTGAACTTTATTCCAATGTTGATTTTAAACTGAGCGATTCTCATTTCGGCCCTTTGAGACTGACTTCAGCCAAAGCTAAGCTTCACGGCCAAGTCAAGACAGAGACAGTGTAAACTTTACTTGGTGTCAACAGCAAAACCAAAATAACGGCAGGATAGTTCAAAAGCGTTTTAAACCTGATATCTAACAACACATTCTTTAACAGTATGGAGACAACTCGTGTTGTGATTCTGATCCAGTGCTTGGAGCTTATTTGCGTTAGCCTCTGGCCGAAATATGAGTCAGGAACACAGAACATATCAGACCAGACCAAAATAAATATGAGTCGGAGACAAAAACATGTGGACAACAACTTTGTGGTCTGGACAGGTTGGAGTGGTGTTAGAGTCTCATTGCGTGTAGTCAGTCTCAGTAATCTGACTTATCTGTCCTGCAGTTGGACATGATATCAGCTTATTTACATAAACAGATCCGTGTGTGTGCGTGTGCGTGTGTGTGTGTGTGTGTGTGTGTGTTTGTGCGTGTGCGTTTGCTACAGGTAGTTTAAAACAGACCAGGCTGCAGCTCTGCATTGATGTGTTTCTACCTGCTTCTCCTCACTCTCTCTCTGACAAACACACAATTTTCTGGATTTAGCACATAGATATCAAAATATTGCAATTGTTTTTTTCATCTAGTTTTATTTATCTATTGGATTACTGGTGATGAAAAAAAAAGCAAAGACAGACAAATTAATTTAAAATAGACTCATTTTATTAACCCCTAAACAAAAAACTGAATCC